TTTATAAATTAAATAATTAATTTCAAATGTAATTATGTCATATAAGAATAAGACATTGGTCGAAACTATTCAAAATATGTATTTTATTTGTGTGCATCCAAAATAAAAACAAACATTGTGCTTTTGTAAAATAAAGGAAACAATCAGGATGCCACATTCTCAAGAGCGCATCACAAAAATGAGCCGAAATTCTGCATTTAGGCTGCTAATTGTTGCACAGTTTTGTTTTCTTTCGCTTTGTTAATTTATTAATTATTTAGAAAAATATATTTCGCATATAGGCCTATTTATTTCTTTTATATATAGCTTTATCATGTTTTTCTCCGTTCGCAGAAGCGCTGCAGGTGCGTGACATGACCATGTGAATCCTCACATTCTGTTTATGCTGCCTTTTGCGTGTATAAGATTAATCCCTGGAAAACAAAATTAGGTATTTTTAATGGGTCACAGCCACGTATCAATTGAAATTTAATTTAATTTAATTGTAATTTAACATAATCTTGTCGGTTAACAGTTAATAATAGCTTAACGACCGTTAGGAGAAATCAAATAACCGAAATGAACAAGTTAATCAGAAAAATAATAATAATAATAATACAACTGCACCTGCTTATGAATATTTCTTGACGATCAAGTATCTAAATAGTCTAGAACAAAGTACAAAAAAAAACTCATGAAACTTGTTAATAAAAATTATTTTATGCTGGCCTATACAATTTAATAATTGGCTATATAATCAAGTTTTTTGTTTCAAATGGATGAAGAACAGGCTACTAGCCTGTATAATTTGTGCAATAGGTGAAATTATGTATGGAAACAGCTCAAGGGCAAAAAAATGTTTTTGCGATACACGAAAACTTCGACAATTCGTTTTTTTAGGGATGACGCCATCACGCACACCATTTTATCGGTAAAAGGCCAGTTTGGATGGAAACAGGCTGAACACAGCAAATTTCGCAAATTTTTTTTAAAGCAATATTTTCTATGTCGATAACAAAACAGCGCAAAAACTGGATGGAAACTTGGCTACTGTTAAAAGAATTTGTGAAACAGGTTAGTTTGTGGTGTTGATAGTAGGTCAATCATTAAAGGTGTTTGCGAGGGGCTGTATAGGCGAATATCTTTTGGACAGTATCGGCTGAAATAGGGAGTAAATATTTGAATAGATTACTGCGTTCAATAAGACAATTATCTATTTATCATAGTTTTAAATATCATCTTAAAAAAGTGGTTTATGATGAATTAGTTGTGTAAACATTATACTTAAAAAATGTAAATGTGTTTGGCATATATGTCTTTTATTTTGTGTTGTATGTGTGATTGAGTGTCTGTCTTTGTGTGTACCTGCCTAGGCCTGGGGACTGTGGATGTAAATGAGCAATATTGGTATAATCTGAAAAACTAATGTTATCACCATGCATTTTCCCTGTCAAATAAGTTAAAAAAAACAAAACAAAAAAAAAAGACAGACAGAGTGATGCAGCACCAAAGTGCAAAAGGGAGTTTTTTTTCCCCCTAACATATTTAACCTCAACTCCCAGATGAAAAAGTGCAGTAAAATACTTTATTTCAGTACACAGTACACTTTCATAATGTACTTAAAGTGCTATATTTTCATGCACTAATTTTGTACTTAATATACTAAAAATGATCCTTTAGTACTTTCTAAGATAATCTTAAGAACATCTAAGTGTACTCAACTGTGCTATTTCGGGACACTATGAATGTGAACTAAAATGTGCTTTTAACATAATTTATCTGTAAAAAAAAAGTATTTAGTTACCAATTGTAGTACAATTAAAAATCATTGTACTACACATACTCATCGTACATAGAAAATATACTTATTATTTAAAATATAAGAATAATATATACAAAATGTATTTATAATATATAGCCCACATATTTTTTATAAATTAAATAATTAATTTCAAATGTAATTATGTTAACATTTGCTTTATATGATATACTTAACTACATGTTTATGGTGTCTTTAAATAATACAATCAAGCACACTATTACTATATCATTAGTACCACTTTTTCCCACATTAATAAAGTCTGTATCATAGAATAGTGACTTGTACTATTTTTATTTTGTAGACGTTCATTGCACAACTTTTAAATGTAATACAACCTACTGTACTGTCACAGAACACTCTAAGAAGATCCAGTTACAGTAATCCACATCGAGGCAAAATGCAGAAAACATTGCACAAGGTAATCCACAAAACAAAACCAACAAAATCAGAGTAACAGAAAAAAATACTGCAGCAACAAAGACATACCACAAGACATATATACATGATCTTCTAATCCTGATAACTGATCTCTAGCTAATTTGGTTCTTCAAACAAATTTGCGGATTTGATTAAAATATAAGTTGTGTAAGACTACTGTGTACCGTGTATATTTATTATGTATAATTAATACACACATGCATGTATATATTTAAAACAGTATGTTGTTTATATATTTATAAATGTAATATAATTTTTTGAATATAAACATACATATAGTCTTTTCAAAATATATACTGTATGTGTGTGTCTTTATATATACATAATAAATATACACAGTACACTTGCCTATATTATATAAACAAAAACTTTTATTTTGGATGCGAGTAATCGCAGTTAATCATTGCCCAACACTAATTTTGCATGCTTCCCAATTATTTATATACACGATTTCTAGTATTTGTACAGGCTTTACATTTTTATTTCAATGTTGTAATTAGCAATTCATTTAATTTTATCTTTGAAGCAGATTTGTTATATGACAGCATTAATTAAAGGGTCAAGCATTAATTTCTTAAGGGTCAAGATCAAGTTATCTGCATCTCCTGCGCTCCATCAAGTCACATCAAGCGGGCGAGGCCCGTGTAATGGAAGACAGCCTAGAGCCAAAGGCAGACCAGGGAACCAGGGTGGAGCTGGCAGAACAGGAGGTCAGGGTGGTTGGGATGACCACCACAGCAAGCCCATCGGGACTAAAGATCCCCATGGTGGTGAAGACCACTTCAGTGGAGCTGATGAGGCAGATGACCCCCTGGCAGATCAGGCAGGACTGCAATGAAGAGCACAAAGAGGTTAGCAACAGCCTTTACGGCTGTAACAGGACAGGCAGACAGTTCAGCAAAGGTCTTCTTGGCTCTGACAGGACAGGGTAACAGTTCAGAGAGAATCTCCGTAGCCTCACTCGAACAGACAAGGGATTGAGAAATGACCTCCTTGTCCATGACTAGACAAGCAGAGGATTCATAAACAGCCTCCTTTGCCATTACAGGACCAACAGAGAGTTCAAAAGTGGATGCCACCACCTTAAGAGAACCTGAAGCGGATGCCGCTGCCTCAGGAAGTTCAGCAGCAGAAGCCACCACCTCTGGAGGTTTAGAACCCAACTCTAGGTCAGGTTCACAAACTGAGGCGAGTTCAGGACCACACTCATAGATCGGAAAGGGCTTTGGATCAAACTCATAAACTGAGGTGAGCTCTGGTGTGTGGACTTGTGAGATGGAGCAAGCTCTGTGGTAAGCTCTGGAATTAACTCACAGACTAGAGCATGCTCTGGAGCGGACTCATAAACTGGAGTGAACTCGTAGGCTTGAGTAGACTCTGGAGCAGGTTCATAGATGGGAGCGAACTCTGGAATGAACTCATAGACTTGAGCAGGCTCTGAAGTGAACTCATAGATGGGAGCGAGTTCTGGAATAAACTCGTAAACTTGAGCGGGCTCTGAAGTGAACTCATAAACTGGCGCAAACGGGCTCCAGAGAAGATTTCTGGACTGGAGCGGGCTCTGTAGTGGATTCTGAGGACTGCTGGACTGGAGCGAACTCTGAGGGTTTCTGGACTGAAGCAGGTACTTGAGTTGACTCCGAAGACTCCTGGGCTGGAGCAAATTCCTGAGTGAACTCATGGAATGGAACAGACTCTGACAACGAATGCTGAGGCCCTTGAGATACCAGCTGCTCTGACCAAAATCAGCGGTGGATCTGCCGAACTAGAGATCAGCCCCAAGTGTTGTTTAAACACCCGAGAGTCTTCAAGTGCAAGGTTCACGATGACCGGGAACACAGTAGTGGCATCCGTGATGGATGAAGACTGTGGCCTGACATCCATAACAGCTGGAGTTGGCGGCCTTAATGGCTGGGGGCTCTGGCGTGGCAGTCATTTTGTGAAAGGGCTTCTCATGAGCGGACTCTGGGACAACAGGAGTGGACTTAGCTGCCCTTCTCCTTCTCGACCTTCACTTGTGAGACAGAGACAATGAAGCCTCGCTGTCCTCTGGAGATGTTGTGGCGGACTCTGTGCTCATGGCAGAGCCCCTGGATAAGGCAGACTTACCTGATGTTACTATTAGACTGCGGTAACTGAGATAGTCAAAGAAGCCTCAAAAATTTAGTCTTAAGTCCCTCCATCTCAGGCAAGGACTATCAAGGCATCCATTGAAGATGTTATTTAGCTCAGTATTGCAAAGTTCCAGCCCCACCGCCTTGGTCCAAAACGTCTGAGCCAGGGCCCCTACTCCCAGCCCCAAACAATGATCCGGCGGAGTGCCCTCTGGTGGCTGTCATAGGCACACCAGCTGATGGCTGTGACACTTTAGTTGAGCTGTGGTTACTACATTCATGGTTACTACAGTTTTACTCTATTACCATTACTGCAATATTACTATAGAGGAACCATAGTTAGAACCATGGTTAATGTTCATATGGGATATGACAAGTGCTGAGCACATCCATCTCTGGCTCAGCACCAGCCAAAGCACGAAAGCATATTTGAATTTAGCAGTTAATCACGTGACACACTGAACAATCACACTGGTGTAATTGCACACGTTAAAGGGCTACTTTACGTCCGAAACTCTGATCACCTGTAAAGGGCTTCTATCCAGTGTGAATCTTCATATGTTTCCTAAGGTTTCCTTTTTCAGTGAAACTCTTTCCACATTGTTGGCAGGTAAAAGGTTTCTCTCCAGTGTGAATTCTTATGTGACCATCGAGGTGTTGTTTATGCGTAAAACTTTTTCCACATTGAGAGCATGTGTAAGGTTTCTCTCCACTGTGAATTCTCATGTGGATTTTAAGGTTTGATTTTTGAAGGAAGTTCTTTCCACACAGTTTGCAGGTGAAAGGTTTCTCTCCGGTGTGAACTCTCATGTGAACTTTAAGGTTTCCGTTTTTAGTAAATCTCTTTCCACACTGTTGGCAGACAAAGGGTTTCATTCCAGTATGAATTCTCATGTGGTAATTAAGGCTTGCTTTTTGAATGAAACTCTTCCCACACTGTTGGCAGGTGAAAGGTTTCTCTCCAGTGTGAACTCTCATGTGGACTTCAAGGTTTCCCTTTCTATTAAAACTTTTCCCACACTGTTGGCAGGTAAAATAACTTCTCTTTGCTGTCTTTTGAGCTCTTTTTTGTGAAGTCTTTTCAGTATGCGAGAAACTAAATGATTTTTTTCCAGTCATGAAATCATATTTCTCATGCTGAATAGTATCTTCATTTTCATTGATTTCTTGACTCTCCTCTTTCAGTGTCATCAGGTCTAATGCAAAAAAGACAAATCCAGATTAATACAATTTATAATGGCACAAAGAACAAACATCAAAACCAACAACATGTAGCTCTTATACACACTAAGCTACTAAAGGAGGTGTTAAATGTAATCTTAAAACCTCTTCCCTTTATTTGAAGTGATGATGATGATAAAAAGAGCAAAGTTTATTGTATAATCTTCAATGCTCATTTTCGAGGTAATGAGTCATGTGCTCTCAACATGTCTGTCCACATGAAGCGACCCGCTCCATGTCAAATAAAACCACTTTAACTACAACACTCATGACATTCTTCAAAAATATCATTAATTTCTGTTGAGCTGAACATTTTAATAATGATCAGATGAGTGAGTTCAGCTTTGAGAATGAAAACCAACCTGTTTGTTCCTCAGTATCTTCATGTTTGTCTCTGAATGCTTCTTCAATCTTCATGTCTTCACTCTGCTCTTTAATAAACTCCATCTTTCACTCTGCTCTTTAATAAACTCCCAACCTGTTTGTTCCTCAGTATCTTCATGTTTGACTCTGAATGTTTCTTCAATCTTCATGTCTTCACTCTGCTCTTTAATAAACTCCATCTTTGTTTGTTCCTCAGTATCTTCATGTTTGACTCTGAATGTTTCTTCAATCTTCACGTCTTCACTCTCCTCTTTAATGAACGCCATCTTTATAATAGTGTGTCACGTGGATCTGTAAGAGATTAATCACAGATTCTTAAAGTGATCAATAACAGCGGGTAAAATAAGTATTGAACACGTCACCATTTTTCTCAGTAAATATATTTCTAAAGGTGCGGTTGACATTAAATTTTCACCAGATGTCGGTAACAACCCAAGTGATCCATACATGCAAAGAAAACAAAACAAATAATTTCAGAAATGATTGAACTCATGAAGAAAGGGAGGTGCAAAACGGCAGCTGAAGTCTATCAGTAATTAGAAAGCAATCCTGCCACTAGTCAGTGGAAAATAATATTAGCTGGTTTAGTCCCAACACCTACAGTACCAATTTCAGCAAGACAATGATCCCAAACACAGCCAAATAAACTCTCAACTGGTTTCAGCAAAAGAAATAATTAAAGCTGCTAGAATGGCCCAGCCAATCACCTGACTTGAATCCAATAGAAAATAAGAATTAAAGATCAGAGTTCATAGAAGAGGCCCACAAAACCTTCAATATTTGAAGACTCTGTGGAAGAATGGGCCAAAATCACACCTGAGCAATGCATGCGACTAGTTTCTCTATACAGGAGGCGTCTTGAAGTTGTCATTACCAACAAAGGCTTTTGTATAAAGTATTGAATACATTTTAGTAGTTCAATACTTTTCCCCTGGATCATTCAATTTTATTACACAGAACCTACATTTCTGAACTTATTTGTTTTGTTTTCTTTGCATGTATGGATCACTTGGGTTGTTACCGACATCTGGTGAAAATTTTATGTCAACAGCACCTTTAGAAATATATTTACTGAGAAAAATGGTGACGTGTTCAATACTTATTTTACCCGCTGTAAAGTGTGAAGTGCTCTAAATTCACTACAGAGCATTTGTGATATTTTTAGTTAAGAATTAAGTCAAGTATCTTTATATGAGCATTTTTTATTTCAGAAGAAAGAAATAAGGTTAACTGATTAAAGCTGTACATGTTGGGTTTCATCAAGCAGTAAAAATATGACAACATACTCAGGTGTTACTCCTCATCTAACATTGTTAGGAGTGAATGATGCTCAGTTTCTAAATATAAGATGCTTTAAGCAGTTTATTAGAAACACTTAAACTGTAGAAGTATCCTTCACAGGGTATTAAAAGTACACATAAATTAGATTATATAAGTGAAGTTATAGTTTTGAGACAAACTACCTGTAATATCCAGTTACGGCTGTAGGAAACTCAGAAGTGAAGATCAGAGACGGAGTGACTCTTCATCAGGTTCTTGATTGAGATGCTACTGTGTGTCACGCTGCAGTCATCAAGACTGACTAAAGCAGAGAATCACTGTAGTTTATACTGATTTCAGGAGGCTGTCATCAGAAGATTAAGTATATAAAGGATGCAAGCAGTTACAGGAATTTGCCCAGATTTTCACCAACTCTAATCCAATCAGCATAACTATAACTCTCATTATCACAGAGATCAGGGAAGGTCACACCTACAGACATCACATTCACACTTAACCCAGGTACTGATAGCACGAACAATGACCATCAATTAAAGTAACGGGGCAGAAGCAGCAAGAGACAATAAAGACAAAAGGTGACAGACTCACCTACCATGATTTTACATCTGCATTCACACACACCTAAAACAAAAGAGATTGAGTTTTAATATTTAAATGCCATTTATCTTTCCGTCTTAATTGATGTGCATTTGTAAGAAAGTAAACATTTATTATTTGGAATAATTTTGTAGAATACAAATATAAGTTTCATAAATTAACAGTGATTAAATAGGTGAACCCTTTAAGCAAGTCTCTGTGGAGATCAGTGCAGAAAGGCAACATGGAGCATTGTTTTTTAATTCATTATTATTATTTAATACTATATTAGAGATGCATAATAGAGGTGAATGTCCAATGTATACTTGTTTACAATTACTGCCAAAGTCTATATAAAATACATTTAAATAAAACATTATTTACAGAGTTACTGTTATTTTTTATTATCATTATTTCTAGCTACCACCAGACAGGAGTCACAGTAACCACAGGGAACGTGGGAGAACTGGTTACTGCCATTTGTGTGTCAATGGAAAGAAAGTTCCACAGAATGGAATACAATGCTGTTCTTTCAGAAACCACTGTACTGGACCCGAGGTTCAAAAATTTGGCATTTAATGACAACAGAGCTGTTGATGAGGCACTTCAAAGAGTAACAACAGCAGCAGCAAGATGCAGCACTATACCACCTCTATCACCAGAAGACCAGGAGGGAAAAGAAGGAGCAGGGACACTAGAAGTGGAGCCACAAACATCTGCTGTTTGAAAGTTGTTTGTTAAAAGAGCCACAGGAGCCATTGCAAGAAGAAATCCTGATATATTGGAAGAAAGATCCTATCTTGAGGAGCCCCTTGTCCAAAGAGCTGCAGACCCACTGAGCTGGTGGGAGACCAAGGCTTCAGTTTACCCACGACTTGTAAAGCTGATGACAGGGAGACTGTGCATTGTAGCAACATCAGTCCCTTCCGAAAGAATTTTCTCAAAAACGGCAGATTTTAACAGAAAGAAGAAACCTGATCAGAACCTCAAATCTGAGGCACTAATGGCGCTTTTCTACTGCATGGTACAACTCGGCACGGCACGGCTCGGTTTGCAGTCTAGTACCGCTTTAGAGTGGGCGGGATTATTCACATGTCGTTATAGTTGCGCCGCCTCTACTACCACGACTCCTAAAAAACGTTTTTATTGTTTTATTCCGCGTCGTCCCATCAAGCTCTTGCTGGATCCGCTCCTATGCTATCAACGAGAGGAACGTCTATACGTCCTCAACAGACAACGAAACAGCCCCTTTTTGGTTGTTAAAAAAAGGTGATCTCGTTCAAAACTAGGGGTGGGAGAAAAAATCGATCCATCGATGCATCGCGATTCTCTCTCCAACGATTCTGGATCGATTCTGAGCTTAGCTTTTAACCAGATGCACGATGACGCCGAGTTTGCTTTAGAAACACCCCTATTCTGCTTGCTTCCAATTCCTCACACACAAACACCACTCGAACCTTCCGTAAATGAATCGTTCATAAAGTTCGGAAAGGTTGAAGCGAATTGCAAGGACATTCGCAGGCTTCATTGCACCGGATGTGCGCTTTGTTTGATGTTACACTTGAAGTGTGCGGTCTCGCCTGTCGGTATTTTCCTCTACGAAGTCATCATTTATGTGGTTTGAAATGCAGTGGATTATATATTTAAAATATGAACCTCACTAACAGAAGGCTGCTTTCAGGTACAAATGCTGAGGCGTGCTGTGCGCGATTCCGTGTAAGTGGTTTAAACAGACAGGACAAACCACATTACTTCTTATATTTCAAAAGAGATCTGTGCGTGAATGCAGATCTCCCGCTGTCTATGACGTCACAGTAAAAAACAACAGTAAAGATGAAGAAAAAGCACTCACAGTTCTTGAATGGAAAACGTTCAGATAATCTTAAATACTGAAAGCACTCTGTTTGTTTGTAATATGTTTCTATGCTCCTCTTTATTATTTGCTACTTGCTTGTGTGTTTTGAAGTTATATTAGTTTAAAATTCTTAACATACAACTGTTTTAATTATTTTTTTCAATCTGTAATTATTTTAAAAAGTACTTAATTACTTATGTAAGGATATGTAAATGTTAGATTTTTAGATTCTCAAGTCGGTAAACTAATTGATTAATAAAGGAGGAAAAAGTAGATCAAGAATCATTCTGGGATCGGATCGTGACTCGCAGAAATGTTTGAGCAGCAAATCAGCATATTAGAATGATTTCTGAAGGATCATGTGAAAATAGAAAAAAGCTGTTTCACATTCTCACAATATTACTGTTTTTACTCAAAAACAGGAGAATATATATATATATATATTCAAATCAATGCAGCTTTGAGCAGAAGAAGAGACTTATTTTAAAAACATAAATAAATCTTACTGATCTAAACTTTTGAACAGTAGTGTATATTTCTTCTTATGTATATTTATTAAAAAAAATATTGAAACCAAAATGTTGCATTGTCTAGAGCAGTGTTTCCCAACCTTTTTATAGTCGCGGCACCCTTTGGAAATTTAAACAAACTTGTGGCACCCTACAAAATTAATTTTGTCACAATATTTGAATTTCTAACTTCGATGTGATAATTTGAAAAGTGTAGATATTCGGTACAACAGGGAAGAATGGCAGAATATAATGTCATACAGATATTTTTAATATT